TTTAAGCAACAAAAATTTTTTTTTATAAAAACCAATAAAAATTTAAAACTTTTTTTATAATTTTTTTAAGAAAAATTGTTGTAAAAAAAAAAATTTTATAAATACCGAAATATTCTCTTTATCGAATAAAGGTGGCTGTGATAACAATAAAAGAACGAAATAAATAGGGAAACCAATGGTAAAATCGGAAACAGTTTGTCATGTTGTCCCGCCATACACTCTGGTATTAAGTTTTTAATAAAAAAAAACAACCCGAAAAAGCTCAGAGTGAAAAAGAAAACAATAAAATTTTAGCTCAAAATTTCATTTGGGATTTTTTTAGAAAATTTTTTTTTGGATCGTAACAAAAGAATAGATACGAATTTTTTTTAATTAAACCAAATAAATTTATATCAAAATTAAAAAATTAATAAAGTAGCAACACAAGGTTTCGAACCTCGGACCGCTGGGTTATGAGCCCAGCACGCTAACCGCTGCGCCATGTTGCTTTAATAATATGGAAAAAAAAAATAAATTAGAAATAGAGGCTATAATTATTAGCCCCAAAAAATTTCTAAAATCCTTAGAAGGTCACCGGGTTCTAATAAAACTAAAGTGGGGTATGCAATATCGAGGAAATGTAGTTTCTTCCGATTCATATTTAAATATAAGATTGCGTGATACCGAAGAATGGGTCAAGAACGAAAAAATTGGATTTCTTGGAGAGGTTCTCATTCGTTGTAATAATATAAAATATATTTCAGATTTTAGTTAAAAATTTTCAACTGGTCCTTTTTTTATTTTTAATGTTTTTTGGATATATTCTATAAATGTGATATCGATCTGTTAAAATTTTGGAAATCCAAATTTTTTCGGTTTTTTGCTCTAAAATCCTCGGGTATTTAATTAATATTACCTCAACAATGTAATTTTGTTTTTTATTCATTTCCCATATATTAATTTGTTGGATTATGGAGAAGGGTATCTTTTCACAAACGCCATGAAGATTTTTTTTGATAAAATTCAAAATGTTACAAGAATTTATTCCCCTGAGAAAAGCGAAAGTAATAGATCTTTCATTAATTTCACCAACAAAAAGATTTGGTAGAAAATAAAGAGGCTCAGAAAATTGTAAAAAAATTGAATTTGGAACATTTTTTTTTTTATAGACATAAATTCTGTAATTAGATTCAATTATTATTACAAAATTTTTTTTTTGTAAACTATATTTATCTTCCTGAAAATGGGAATTTTTTTTTTGGATAATTTTGTTTAAAAAAAAACTGTTATCGTAAGAATGTGAAAAAAAAATTCCGTTTCTAAATCTAGGAATAAAAAATATTTTGATTTCATGAAAAAAATAAATTTTTACAAAAGGTAAAAAGTCAAAAATTTGAAATTTTCTTTTCTTTAGATTTTTCTCGGCCTCGGTAATAAAATACATATCTTTTAAGTTTATAGACATTTTATTTCTTATAAAAACACCTGATTTATTAAAATGGATTAAAGTAAATCTAGGATAAAACCCTTTTATCAAGCTATTTTTTTTTTTTAAATTTGAAAAAAATAATTCATATAATTCTAAAAAAAATTCTACACCCTTATTATCATTGAATCTAAAAAAAAAATTCATACCTTTGGTAGAAAAAGTAATTTTAGTTTGTTCCTGGTGTAAATCGCCTGAAATTAATTTTTTTTTCTTTAATAAAATCATAAAAAGAAAGCTAAGTAGATAAATTTTTCGGCTAAGCACTTTTTCGAATACATTTGAATTACATTTGTCACAAACGATAGAGATGGGTTTTTTTTTTATAAAATATTCTTTTCGAAAACGATTTAAACAAATAATTTGTCTAATTTTAGGAAAACACATTCTATCAAAATATAACAATCTGTTAAAATAATCTTGATATGTTAAATCTAAAAAAATTTTGGATTCCAAATTTTTAAATAGAACAAAAATTTTTTTTTTTAATAAATTGTGTGAAAAAAAGTTCAATAATTTTCTTGAAAAGGCGCAATTAAAATTTTTAAAATTTATAATATCCAAAGGTTTGCGCCAGAGCAAAAAACGTAGAATCAAATTAATTTGAAAAGGAAAAATAAATTTAATGAATTTTGGTATTGTAAAATAACTATCGATTTGACAATTTTCAATATTCTTATTCATTAATTTAAATATAATAATTTTCTAAAGTTTTAGTCGATTATTTAGGGTATATACGTATATTTAAAATGGTAAGTAATTAAAAAAATTTTTTTGGACTATTGTTGAAATATCTAAGAAATTTAGGCAAGTAATAAAAGAATGATTTTGAAAAAAATACTAGGAAAAGAAATAAAAAAGAATAGGCCTTTGCCCAATTGGTATAGATTTAAAAAAAATTCCAAAATTAAATTTAATTCTAAAAGAAGAAATTGGAGAAGAACAAAAATGAAACTTTAATTAAAACTTTTTAGAATATAATAAAAAAATTATTAATAAAAAAAAATTTTACTATGTACTAAAGCTTAAATATTATTTCTAAAAATATCTATAAAATTTTTTTGCCCGTGTTTTTGTTTCTTTTTCCAAATTTTTTTTATCTTGAAAAAAAAATTAAATCGAATAACAACAAAACGATTTTTTTTTTTCTTTAAGGTAGTGAACAAAGAGGACCTAAACAAAAAGCAACGATTGTTTTTTTGGTAGTTTTTAAGCCAATCTCTGGTGTATCCATTTGTTTTGATTATATAGTCGGAAGAAATAATAATTTTTCTAGATTCTATTATTTCAAAAATTAATTTTTTATATAAATATTCCATTGTTTCTTGATTTTTAGCTTGATTAACAGTTGAGACAAAATATTCAAATAAAAATATATTTTGTTGATAGCTCTTTATTTCAATTAAAGGAAACGTGTAAATAAAAATTTTTATTTGAAATTCAAATAAAAATAATTCAAAAATAAATTTATTTGCATCTGATTGTTTTTTGGGATATTTATTAAAAAACCAACAGTTTGTAAAGCTTTGTACTATTTCTTGGTTAAAAAAGTTTCTGATTAAACCAGAATTTAATTTATATAACATTAACAAATAAAGATCACATTTTTTCGTATTAGTTAAAAAAAGGTTTTCCTTTTTCATATGATTTCTAAATCTTAAAAATAAAAATAAATTAAAACAAGTAAAACATTTCAATAGAGACAGGAGATTTTTTGTTAAAATCGATTTAGTTCTTAAAAAAATTTTCTTTTCTCTTAAATAAATCAAAATTTCCCAAAAATATATGAATTTTTCTAATAAATTGCACTCTTTGAAAACTAAGTTCAAAATACTTTTAAAATTCAAATTTCTTTTTTTTTGAAATAATTTTTTACAAATCATTTTTTTTATTTATTAGTAGCCTCGGTTATTTAATATAATAATTATTAATGAACTTTGATCGCTTTGGTAATGTTATATTCAAAAATCATTCCAGAAAAGATAAAAACGATGTAAGAAAATTTTTAAAAAAAAAATTTTTAAAAAATAACTCTAGATATAAAGAAATGAAAAAATTGATCCCAAAAACTATTTACTCCAAAAAACTTCTATTTGAATTTTTAATAAATAAAAATAAATCTGTAAAAAATCTCTCTGTACTTGGCCATTTACATCATGGAAAAAGCAGTTTAATTAGGAATTTAGCGTCTAGTCTGCATCTCATTAATCAAAACTCTCTTTTTGAAACCTTTTCGGAATTTTTTTTCATCGAACAACAGAGAAAAACTACATTAAAAGGATCATTGACTACTTTGTTATTATTGAGAAAAAATGGAAAAGCATGTGTCACAAGTTTTTTCGATTGTCCTGGGCATCCTGAATTTTTTGACCAAACCATAAATTCACTGAGTTTATCAGACGGGTCCATCATGGTAGTCGATATCGCAGAAGGAGTTTTGCTTGGAACGGAACTAGGACTAAGAACTTCAATTTTATC